AAACTAGTTTTGTTTAAGAAAGGACTTGTATCGCTGAAGTTCTTCGGAAAGAATTTTTACGGGAAATTAGCAAACGAACAGAGACATAACAATATTTTACGTTAATTAAAGCTATTAATACTGCTTTACGTATTTCGGTTGGCTATTTCCAAATAGACGTCATGGTTAACGAGTTATTTTATTATAGTATATTGTAAGGTTGTTTAACCGTTTTAACGTTGATTTCTTGAGTGATAAATGATTAAAGTTTGCCCCTTTTTTATAGTTTTACTTTTAGAATTAGGGATGGCCGGATCAGCCTGGAAATAAAGGAAGGACGGTGTTACCATGTGTTAACTATCTATTTAATTACTGTGTAAAGTTTTTCGCAATTTGCGTTTTCTTTCAGTTCAGTTTGGACTTAGAAACTGCGTGAAATCCATGTACCGGAATACACCACACATGTATTTGTGTGGGCGGGGGAGCTGGTATTAGTAATTTGTTACTTCCAGGGATAAGGGCAGTGACTGAAGGGTGAAACATACTCGAACTATGAATTATAATTGCAGAAACGCTAAAAACAAACGTATTTTCGCGTGGAACTAAGAGGTGCGGGTACGGTGTTTTGCAACGATATAAGATTTTATTTGAATCATTTATATATTTCATTTTGGCCAGTACGTCCTATTTGTTTTCTCACCAGTATGCCTATCGCCACACATTAGCCACTGGTTTAAACTAGAATATTCAGCCTGTCTGGTCACACTCGCACACTTATTATAACATCCCAACACACCCCAAATAATGTTCCCTACCAGTACCACCATCACCACTACCTCCCCAGAATGCGAGCACTCGCATCATTAAATAAAATTACATTAATGAAAATGTAAACTTATACCTTGTTGTCAAATAAAAACAATAACGCAAACAACAAATACATTTGCAGTACCACTGCCAGACTAAAAAAAATAATCAAATGCAAATTATGCTAGAACTTAGAAAGTGAGCTTATCAAGAAACCTTATTAGAGATTTTATTAACTTGTAGTTATACTTGGAAAGCTTTTTCAGTTTTTAGAACGAGTTTTTGCTACTTATTTTCTAAAATTATTGTGACTTTTAAAGTAAACATTACCTGAATGAGGATAAATCGCTTTATATTCTTTTGACTTCTTTTTTGGATGAATGTCGATCTTAAACACTTTTTTATTATAAATATTTTCACGTTCGATTTTAATAACCTTGTTAGCTTTAGACTCTTCTGCATACAGGCTTATCGTGCGATTCTTTTCTTGTCCTGTTTGTATCGACTTAGACCGGCTGTTGAAATTTAAGTCGTTCTGAATATCTTTCAGACTGAGTTTTGAATCGGAATACTGAAATTCATACAGAAAAAACATTACAACGGTAAATATGAAAATACCAGGTACGAAATTACTTTTTATTAAACGATATAACTTCATGTTAATAATATAATTATCTTGCCTTGCTCATCAAACAATTTAATTCCTAACCGTAGATATACGTCGTATTCCGTTACTCTCGAAGTCTTTTTTCACGTAAGGCACGCTGTGGATATTCATACGTCACGAACCGAATTTACTTCAGCGCGTGCGCGTTGGTGTTTAACTCTCTAGTTTACAGTTGCAGCATTTGTTCAACATTCTAACGGGTTTACAGGTGTTACGTTGCGTGCGACGCAGTGTAGTTGGATGGGCTAGCGTATACTGTTCAACAGGCATGAATTTTAAATAGTGAAAAAACATTATCTTAAATCAATGCAGGGAAAAATAAGCATTTTTTGTTCGTGTGTGTAAAATTTGGGCTTATCAGTATCACATCTATTGTTTGTTAAGGAAACAAACAGGCGTATTCCTGATATGGTATACTTGTTTCTTCAACCATTCCTAAACTGTTCAAAATTGATTTGGACTAACAAGTTATTGTAGAACTATATGTATATCCCCACCCACTCTCCAGTGGCTGAGCGGCATGTCGAAAGACTCGATACTCCTGGTGAGCACAGCATAGATAGCCTACTGTGTAGCCTTGCGATTAACAACAAACATATATATACATACATATATATATATATTATATACATATATCAACTATAACAGCCCAACATTTGCAAGCGAATGTAATGTGCTTTCTCCCCATCCAGGCCTGAAATGGTTTGGTGGTCAGGGTGCTCGACTCACAATTTGCGTGTCGCGGGTTCAAATTCCATCACTGAATATGGCAGCCCTTTCAGCCATAGAACTATTATAATATGACGGTCAATCCCAGTATTCGTCTGTAAAATGGTTGCCCAAGAGTTGGCAATGGGTGGTATTAACTAGCTGCCTTCTCTCTCTAGAGTTCGTCACTAGCGCAGATAGCCATTGAGTACATTCGCGCTGCATTGAATGAAAAAAAAACGGGCAAATCCTCCCCATCCACCTTATTCGAAAGGTCCACAGAATATAAAAGGTCTCAAAACAGGAGAAGAGGATATAAACTAAAATATATGTACTTCAAAAAGGATATAGACGCTTAACATAATATCAACTTGAGATTTATTTGAGAGAAATATGTGTTACATATCTGCTTGTTTGTTAATTTCCGGTAGAAATTCTTTCTGAGAACCTTCAGTGATACAAGTCCTTTCTTGGTTAAACCAGTTTATTTTTACTCGATACAAACTTTTAGCACACAGTAATTTCACAATCAGTCCGTTTCTCGTCACTTTAAACTTAAATACTTTTATAATACACGCTATAAATCACAGCGATTCACAATCTCGAAACCACACACTAGCTAGCTCGAAACAGAATCGTAAATTATCCGGAACTCTTATCATTCATTTTCGCAGGCTTTCTCTGCCAGGCTTATATACTAAAAACGAGGGTGTCTAGAACAAACTCAGTCTTCACCGATAATTCATGATTATTCGAGAAAGTCATCACGTGACTTCCGCTGTCGTAACAGATGTGTTGAATCATACTAGATTGCGCTGGTCAGTTTTTGTGTAAACAGATTTATTTATAGCGACATAAACGTTACAGGTCATTTTTGGACAAATAACGCATGATATATAGAGGAATGGCAGAGAAACAAAGAAACACAATTATGCGAAATATTATGATAATTTGATCTCTTCAAAATTTCTAAAACTGCGCAAGTCCCACATCTATATGCTCCAGTTTCTGAGAATTGTCGTAAATTACGTTTTGTTGTAGCAAAGCCACATCGGCTATCTGCTGTGTCCACCGAGGGGAATCGAACTCTTGACTTTAGCATTATAAATCCGAAGACTTACCGTTGACTCACCAGGAGATTGTCGTAAATTAGCTTTACGCAAAGTGTCATTTAGATTGGTCGAAATATAAGGAAATGGGAGACTAAAAAAAACCCAATTTTTGCGATTTTTTAAAATTTGACCCACGTGAAATGAAATAAAAGGCACACATCCTAAATATGTCAGGATTTGTTAGTGGGGGTTGTAACAAGGTAGTTTTTGTGCAAAATTATCATTTATGCTAATCAATATATATATATATATGTTAAGGCAGGTCAAAAATCCTAATTCTGCGAAATATTTTGACCTTTGACTCCTGTAAAATCTAAAGAAAGGTAGAGATCTTATCTTTGTCTGCTTCGTTTATGGGGGTTGTCGCAAAGTATCATTGTGCTAAGTTGAACCTAGATTGATTGAAATATAGAGAAATGGTAGGCCAAGAACATTAATTCCAATATTTTTTTCTACTTTGGACTCTGTAAAATAAAAATCCCTAATCTGTCTCCTTCGGTCTGTAGGAGATATGCCACGTATCATCTGTTGACTCTGTAAAATAAAAATCCCTAATCTGTCTCCTTCGGTCTGTGGGAGATATGCCGCGTATCATCTGGATTGATAGAAATATAAGTGAATTGTTTGACCTTTGACCCCCCTAAAATTGGAACAAGGTCTCGAATTAAGAAACGAAAAAGATTTGGGGGTGGATTGGACAAAGATGTGTGTTCCACTTCAAGTTAAAATATGGTCGGTTCAGAAATAAAGAAGTGGCGCGAAATTGTAATTGTTAGAAAAAAGAAACGGGAAACATGATATGACTCTCTCCCTACGGGGAGACACAATAAGACTCAGACAATTTAAAACTAACATAAGTATTGAATATTTTGTTAAAGCTGGCTTTTAACTACATTCTCGCAATCTGTGGGTCGCGAGTTCGAATCCCCCGTCCCACAAAACATGTTCACCCTTTCAGCCGTGGGGGGCGTTATAATGTGACGGTCAATTCCACTATTCGTTAGTAAAAGAGTAGCCCAAGAGTTGGCGGTGATGACTAGCTGCCTTCCCTCTAGTTTTACACTGCTAAATTAGGGACGGCTAGCGCAGTTAGCCCTCGTGTAGCTTTGCGCGAAATTAAAAAAACAACAAACAACACTAATTACTAAACATATGTTGAGTAATTGTGCTTAAAAGTATAGTTCCAACAACCGTGACCTTTTGACTGCTCTACTTTATGTTTATTTTTAATGTTTAGCATCAAGGCGGTTTGATATCTATAGAACGTTTCCAAATTAATGTCAGCCAGATATTCGTGTCTTATTTTAATATATAATAATATGTGTTTCAAAACTCGCCAATATCTCTGGCTCTATATTTCTATGCATTGAACAATTTGAATAGA